CCGTTAGGGGGGGGAGGTCAAGGCTAAGGCGGGCAGGCCGCCAGCTCGGCCCGGAACGACTCAACATTGGGAGCCACGACTACCGGGCCGGGTAAGGAGTTCCACTGTGGAATGGTACGGGGAAAAAAAGAAATCTGTATGTGTCAGTGCGTGCGTTAATGGGCCGATATTTAAGAGAATGGCTCCCTCGGGTACGCCCCTGTTTGGGCTGCAAAAAACTGCCAATTTGGGTATTAATTGCTACGATGTTATGAACTATTTTAAACTAGAAAGGCCAATATTTGCTTTGGAGCAAATATAGCGATGGGTTCACCACATTTTACGACATGGCAGGGAAAGAATGAGAAACACAAGGGAAAACAATGATTTACATTGATATAACTATAATATGAAGTAACATACAACTAAAACAACAGTTGGATAGCTATTCCCTACTTTATTGGTTAGGATTTTTAATTGCATAATGCAAACTGTTGATTTTCAAAAAAAAAAAAAAACGTCCAATGCCCCGACATTCCAATGCTGGAGTCAGGAAAACTTGAATACCTACCAAAACACTTGAATACAGACATACTGTCAGTATGGAAATGCTCTGTGCAGGTGTTAATCAAGTTAAATCCCAACAGCCAATCAGCAAGAAGAATAGAGGAAAGCTGCATGCCTATTGGTTGATGCCCTGCATTCCATTGTGATGACTCATGCCCAAACGTGGTAAACAAGGCACACTAACACAGTAATACATTTGCTATAACACAGCCAAAAAACTCAAATAAAACCATTCTAAAAGCCTGTATTACAATAATTCAAAAAACGCCTAGGGGTATTTGCCCACTGTACCTCCATACCAAATTTCAGGACCTTGGGCCCTAAAATGAAGAAGCTGAATCCATTTAAAAAATGGCAGGAGGAGAAGGAGAAGGAGAAGAAGAAGAAACATCAGAAAAAGCAATATGGGTTCACCACCACTTCGTGGTGTGGTGAACCCATAAAAATGTTGTGAGGCGGGCGCTCCTCCTCCTTTCGGAGAGAAGAGGCCATTGCAGGTCGTTGATCATTTGTGTCACACTACTAGTTCGCCTGTAGTCATTGAGGGTCACCCGGGCGGCCCTGCGCTGGACAGCCTCCACCGCCTGTATCCCTTTGATGGTATGCGGGTCCCAGACGGTGGCACTATATTCCAAGTGGGGCCGTACCAGCGCTTTATAGCAAGTGGCCTTGACCCTAGATGGACAATGGGTCAAGTTGCGCCGAATGACCCCCAGAACTCTACCGGCTTTACTAGTGGTGTGTTTGATATGGGTATCCCACCGCAAATCATCGGACAGATGTACTCCGAGATAGGGGTGGGATTTGACACTGGTAAGGATTTCATTACAAAGTGTGTACTGTGTTAAGATGGGGTGTCTGGGTCAGCAGAAGTCGGGCGGCCATGGCTGTCATGCATGGTCACGATTTGAAAATTAAACTTTTCATTCAAGCTGATCTATTATACATTTGTAGATAAAAAAAGAAACTGCAATTTCAAACGGTTAACCATTTTTACGTAACACCACATACAATAAACATTCAATTGTCACCATGGAATCCGATAGTTTTTATTGCCTGCCTCCTTAGAAGACAAGATAGAAAAATATTACAAAAGATATAAATATCTCACAGAGGTCTCTAAACTAGTGCAATTAATTAAATCTGTGAGGTATTAGTAGTTATTATAATTTAGTTATTATAAGTTATAATTTTTTACTATTGTTATTAATTTTATTTTGAAATTGTGCATTATTAAAAGTTGTTTGGTACATCTTATGGACATGTCACACTTTTGTTGAGAATTTTGAAACTTATTACATGTATAAATATACAGTAACTACTATCATTCCAACAACTTCTGCTTAATGGATATGAATTAAGATGTTGGCTGCTAGTAGTAATTGTATGATAGCACCAAGTACAATCACTGCAAGTTCACTTAAGTCAAATTATTAAATCAATTTTTTAAGAATTTGACTTCTCAGTATTATCTCCAAGGAAACTAGAGCACCAAATTTCCCCTTTGTATATCATTAAGCTTGGACGCCAAGTTGGCATGAGAGTTGCATAATACATGTACATGTACTGCGAATGTATTACTTTCACTGTGGTTCATGTGGTGTTCAAAGTCACTGTCACAATCAGTATCAGTTATTCTGAATATTCCTCCACTGTTTGTAGATCTCCTCTTTAGGGGTTCCCCACCACATGTCGATGAACTTGGAGACACTTCCCGCTGTGACCATGAGGTATTCTGTGTTCTGAGGATGGATACTGGCGGTGTAGTGCCCCAGTACGTAAGACTGCGAGGCCCTGGCAACAACACAGTAGTACAGCACATCCCACTCTGCAGGTGTCAGGGCACGAACACTTTCAAATCCTGTGAAACAAAACACAAGGCAAACACTATGATGTTACCATATAGTTTGTAGTTTTTAGAGTACTCAAACTGTTTCAAAGTCCTTCATAATACAATGTACAGAATACAATATAATACATAAGATGGTGAAATGAGCCTCACTAGTCTTAATCTTTCTTTCTCTTTCTATGTAGAAAACTGATTTTGTAGTATTTGGGAGTTTAATCACTCTGCAGCATGTTAAGGGTAAGTGGGTCAGGCAATCCTTTATTGTACATGCCTGGCTCGTAACTTACTAACCTGCTACAAGGTGTCCTCCGAGTGAGATCGGATCCTTTACTACTGTCATGAAGTACATCAGGGCGATGGCAAGGTCAAATACATAGGGGTCAACAATGGCGTCACCATAGTCCAGAAGCCCACAAACCCTGAACTCGCTGGGGGTTACAGGGTCCTCCTCTACCAGGACATTCAGGTCATTGAAGTCTCCATGCATCACTCCTGGAAAGATATCCACAACAGTATACAATTTCTCATTACATGGTATGGCGGCATTGGGAATATGGTTATTAAAATCAAAAGGTATTGGGTTTTTAAAAATCCCTATTATGGTGCCAATACGCTTCAGTTAGAGACGTCCTCTTGGACCACATCACCTGTCTGAGTTATCTCAGTTTGTCGTTGGTCAAAAGACTCAAACCTGAAAAGAAAAATAAGCAAACAAACCTTCTTTTCTACTTACCTTGTTGAAGGTCATCCATACGGGGCAGCACTTTTTCTCTGAAGGCTTGAATGATTTCCCTGTTTATCTCTATGTGACGTTCCTCTTTCAGGCAGTGAAGGTACTTCTCAAGACTAGGGAGACATTTTAGGCTCCACACAAAGTCTGGTCTGTGCAAGGCTGGATGAGAAAAATCCTGGTGGAAAGAAATTGAACCAAACTGGAATTAATTAAACCGGTTATGGGTGAGAACCAAATAAAGATAAAGTTAGGATTGGTAGGCTCAGAAAATGGCATCAATGCTGCACTACCTCCTCTAATTCATTCTAAGCATTGCTGATAGTAGTATCTCAATTACTGTAAAATTACCAATACCAGATTACCACAGCACAAAAATTTGAGCACTAGAGCAGCATTACACACCGCTTTTGCAAGGCGCAGTAATAGGTAAACTTCCTAGCACTTACCTTCAAGGCTTTGTGTACTTTGGCTAGAAAAGCACCAGCTTCGTAGGCTAAGTGGTGAGTGATGGGAGCATTGTGGTATACAGTCCCAGGCAGGTAGGTCAGAAGGCGAACGATGTTGTGAGAATAGCTACCTGCACCGCAAAGGAGAAGGCCAAAATCAGGAGTCTGATTATAGATGATCATGTTCATACTGTCATCATTATAAGTTTAACTTTAAAGAGGCGGGATCTTGATTTCCAGAAGATGATAGACCAATTGCAGAATCAGGAACAACTTTGATCTGCTATAAAAATTAAAGCAAAAATACTGAATTATGGATGTATAGTGTACCATTGTCCTTCTTCAGTAGTTGTTGGAGGCTCATGTCCCTACCCTGAAGGTTTGGCACGACTCTGGGTACTGGGAATCCTCTGTCTGCTAGAAATGTCATCATCTTGTTCTGTGCCTCTATCAGATCTTGGGAATCAGCAGATACAACATAAAAGCAAGAAGCATTTTATGCAAGTGGCATGAAGTATATTAGCCTGAGTGTCAGCCTTTTCAGCTTTTGTCTGCTTCCACGATAGGTAGCGGACGAAAGCTAAAAAGACTGATACTCGGGTTAGAAGTATATAACAGGGACAAGAAAAGAGAAATATCATGTGGTATATTCAATGCAGGTTCTAGACTTTCCCATATAAGGCAGAAGCCATCTTAAAATCATTTTACTGTCCAAGCACAGGTAGTGGTATGTGTTCAACTTTCATATTTCATATAATGTTTCCCATGTAGTTACAAGTGTAACAATTTAGTAAGGTGCTGGAGTAGTAACATATTAGAACAATTAACCCCAAGAGATTGTGTAAGCACAGGCTTAAGTTCAAGTACATGATCAGCCTGAGAACTTACCCTCATTTTTCGAGTCAGTACCATTCATAACCTTCAACGTGTACCCATGAGCCCATGGGCAGGGCCATCAACTGTCACATAGAAGTTCATGTCATCATAGCTGTCCAGTGGCTTTACAGACTTGACCTTGAGCCCATAAAGTCTTTCCCACAAGATGTCCTGCCTGCTCCTCCGTCAGGTGAGGCTTTTCCAAAATCTCTTCAGCTTTCTCAGACTGGGCCATGGTGATGCCTGTACTACTGTAGTGAATGAATGATAATGATATTATAAACAACCTACCCACACCTTGTGTTGCACAAGGCCACTATGTGAGTAACAAAAATTATACATGTACAATGTACATGACATTAGGAGTAGCCTGGTTACCAGACCTCTTTTAGCTCCAGAGTCTATTTGCGGAGAGGATATAGACTTGATAGCTAAAGTCTCAGTGGTAATCTGGCTAGACAAGGCAAGGGGGGGTCACAACAAAATTTACTAGTATTTAAATTCAGGAGGACTACCTTACGTCCACCTACATATGATGCTAAATTTGTTAATTTAAAGTCAAAGATGTGACTGCTTTTTTATCAAATAACATGATAATTCTTTATTGATATAATCTGTAAATTAATGTATTAGATAACACCAAGTTTAAATCTAGACCTCAAACCTCCTTGCTCCAAGTACTTTTTTTTATTCTAACATGTAGTTTATGCATGCAAGTTTATTTTAAAGTCTAAATTGCTCACACTTTTCCGGAAAACTGTATCCTATAAATCCTTCTTGGTTTTAACGTTACCCCTTTTCCGGGCAAAAAACGGATGAGTCTGCCGACAGTGTGCAACATGATGTAAATTATACGGCCACACTTTTGTGTTGCAAAACTCAAACGAAGACAACCTGTCATTTCGCTATTAAGGTAAACCTATTTCGCAAACGGCTCCTGCTGGGAGATCAGCCTTAGGGTGTTATTTTAGACAACATACCGTGAGGAAAAGCTGATGATCCGGTTTAGTCCTCACTAGCGTCATCAGTAGTGAGCTGCCACACTTTGTTGCACCGCCTCCTTTGGGCGAACTTTGACACGTTCAGTCGGTCATACCAATACCAATGATATTCTTTGTCGGGCCTTGAATCATGATTCTAAAAAATTCTCGAAATAACATTTCTTTTTGTATCAAGAAAATCAAAAAAGTTTTTGTATCTTTTTACAAACAATACTTTACATTCTTTTATCGATAGTATGTAAGACTGACAAAATAAAAAGTATTTTGGTGAACAAAAACAATTTCCCCTCACCTAAATAGTATCGTCCAAACACGGATGACGTCATTAGAAGGAAGGAAGATGGCGACAAAACAGCACCAGAAAGACGGAACAACAACAATGTTTTGGTTCATGGTCGCTGTTGTTGGCCTCTGTACGGCTGAGGTCAACTTCATACGAGGTAGGGAAGCTAGTGGTTTGTACTGACTTGTTACTGGTCAATAGAAGCCTTCCTAGAGACACGAATTAGATAAGACACAAAATAATTTTATGTCTACCTTCTCTGTGTGTCTGTCCGATGATCATCAGATTCAGAATAAATTTTCTTGCGATTCCCATTTTTTTATTGAAGGTAGAAATATAGGGTATCCGGCACTTCCTTATCCTACAGATGACCTCCCGTTTGAGTTTGAGGCACGTGACGGCCCTTGTCAGCAGCCCAAGAAGGTTGGAAAGTGTAAGGCTGCTTTTCCCAAGGTGTTCTACAACAGCCAGACTGGCCAGTGTGAGGACTTCATCTATGGCGGCTGTGGCGGTAACGACAACAACTTTGAAACCATGGAGGACTGTGAGAACACTTGTGGATGTAAGTACAAGAGAGGTTTAACTGTAACGTATTCAAGTTTGCAGCACAGTACATGTTCAGCATCATTGACATAGACTATATATTCATACATGATACAGTATCATATGCTAAATAGCAAAGTCAATCAGTACAGAACCTGTTTACCACGATACTTATCATTTATGCCTGATTATTTTGTTGTTTATGTACAGCTGGGAAGAGAGAAGCTCTTGTGAAGAGAAGTGTTGAGACTGTGGACCAGGACATCTGCAGTCTGGAGCCTGACATCGGGCCCTGTCGTGCCATCTTCACAAAGTGAGCCTGAAAAAAAACTGCTGTAGAATTCAATGTCACTAGCTTTCATTTTGTAGAAGAGTAATGCTTTTGCTTATGAAATGTTAGGCAATACTACTTTAAAAGCATTTGGGTGCTGTGTCCTCCTTCACTTTGGGGCAGATGCTGTGGAAAG